GGGGGGAGCGGGAGATTGCGAATATTTGCTTCATGTAGTTCACACGTGTGTGTTTTTTTCCATTTGTATGTGGAACTGACCTCCTAACAAGCATGCAAACCTCGAACACAGTAATTACAAAGTTAGAAACGTAGAATTATTCTATAGAAATAACTCTTCTCTGGTCAGCTTAGTTTACTCATTTTGTGGTCATGTGACGTGAATTTCCACCGAGAGACTCACAACACAATTATCTTCTTAGGACCTGATCACGGCAGGCGCAGCGGCATACATTATGCGTTACATTGTGTCGGATTGGAGGGAGGTTTGTGCGCTGGATTGTGGTGTGTTCTCGATCTATCCCTGCAGAGAGCCGTGACTGTCGCTCACGGCTCCCTGCATGGATTCTCCCCTCCCCTGTCCGATCCTCCAGCGCTGACTGGCGGAACGGACCGGGGAGGGGGCGGGTACAGCTGGCTCTGCCTCTAGATAGGCAGAGTCAGCTGTAGGTCATGCAGCTGGGCGGATCCCGGCATAATTGTCGGGATCCGCTTCAGCTGCGGTGTCTTAGTATACCGCGAGCAGCAGCTATTGATACATATATAATACTCATTTAAAACATGCGTGATGCGGGTGACTCAAAAGTACTGATGTAAAGACTATTCTGTCTGGATCCACCCACCTGCGTGAGTGACAGCTGGCTCTGCCTATCTAGAGTCAGAGCCAGCTGTACCGGCCCCGTCCGCTCCGCCAGTCAGCGCTGGAGGATCGGACAGGGCGAGGGAATCCCTGCAGGGAGCCGTGAGTGACAGTCACAAGTCTCTGCACGGATAGATCGAGAAGTGAGCGAGCGCCGGCATGTGTTCGCTCACTTCCCGGTCTATTGAGCCGACCTGTGACAGTCTCATTGTCACAGGTCGGCTCAGATTATGAGGCTGAGTGAAAATCACTCGCCTCATAATTCTCCTTTAACCACCTTAATCCGTGGTCTGCCATCTTCCTTCTTGCCAACTCAGGCTCTGATGACCCAAGATGCCTCTCTCATCACTGTCCGTCATGCCGATTTGTCATCACGTACGGGGCAGGACGAGCTAACAGTTGGACTTCCCGCTTACATTCCAAGCTGGAGAGAAGAGGACCGGAACGCCAGGCCAGGCGCCGGTAGAGATAAGTACCAGTGTATGTTTTCCATCAAACACAAGATCCAGCGGAGTGTGGGGGGAGGAGAAACCATCTCAACTATTTCATCACTGCCCGGAATTAGGCTTTAATTAATTAATGAAGAATTAAAGACACTTCAGTCACAAAAAAAAAAAAAATTGTCTTTATGATTAAAGTAGAGCTGAAGCCAGAACTTTCCTTATGGTCTTGGATTGTATAAGGGAGGGTTGTAATCCCTGTCAGGTTTTTTTGCCATCTATGTCCCACCGGGGAGATTTGCCTTTGCATCCTGTCCGAGAGCCACAACAGGAAGTGAGAGGTAATCCTTCCAAAGTGGGGGGAAATCCCTGGTGGTCACTAGAACAAGTGTCCCTATTGGACGATCTCCCATCTATTCCTGTTCTGGTGACAACCCAAACCCTTTGGGATTTTCTTTCCCTCTCAGTGATATCATTCACCAGGACAAATAGAGAGGGTGAATCTCTACACAGGCAGCACTAAGAACCTGATTGGGGTACAATCCCTTTCCATCCACTCTATTCAAAACTAACAGAAAAAATAAATACATTGGGAAATGTGCTACCTGATGAGGTTGGAAGAGCTGATAGCTCAATATACCGATCATTAGACTTGTGCGGCGTCAAAAAATTTGTTCCGTTTCGGAATATCCGTTATTTCGTATTGCGTAATTCGTGTCCGGAACTCAATTCGGATTCGTACGAAATACGAATTTTCGTTAGTTTCGGCACATTTTCGTAACTTTCCGAACATTCGTTATGATGAAGTTAAAAAGCAAAAATATCTTTGTTAATATTGGAGTCGATGTGGTAGTTGTTTTTTTATCCGAAATACGGATTCCGGATCAGAATTCCGTATTTCGGATGAAAAAAAAAACTACCATCAACTCCAATATAAATGTACTTTGCTTTTTAAATTCAATATAACGAATGTTCGTAACGGAACGAAAATACGTCTACGGAATTTCGTATTTCCTGCCTGTGTATTGTAATGCGACTCTCAGCAGCAGCGGATCCGTATTTCGGATTTAAAAAAAAATCTTGTCATGTTGTTCAACCTCATTTACAGGGGTAATATCAGTTCCCGTTTCAAAGAAATTCGGATCCGAAATTCGTTAACGGAATTTCGTATTTCGGATATAATTCGGAAACTTGCCATTCGGATTTCGGATGCTTCCGAATTTACAAATTTCAGGAAAATTCGTACGAATTTCGATTCGTAACGAAACGAATCGCACATGTCTACCGATCATCATGATACCTTTATGTCCAGCTGGACTCCATGGATGTTGTTCGTTGACTCGGAGGACTACAGATCTCTGTCATGAGCCCTTCTTCTCTCCCTTATTAGATATCTTTCTGCATTTATTGAGAGGATCTATAGGTTCTCTTCTCATGAAGTGGGCGCCCCACCTTCCCCCCTTTCTTGGCTTTCTTTTCCCTTTCTAGCCTGTGCAATTTTTCTGTTTGGCTTCTCTTTATGACCCATCTCAGGTCCCCTCTCTAGCAGATTCTTTTAATGTAGACCCCCATATGGTCCCAGTACAACCCGGGGATACACAATTTATATGGGGTACCCGCAGGCGTTTTTAATACTTCCCTATTAGGCACCAATGTTTTACTGATATGCGTGTTATTGTATAGTTTGTGATAGGGGTGGACTGTTCTTCTAACTGTATTGCTCTGGGATTATGAGTCCTGTCTGTCGCAGTTGTGGAATGATTGCAGCCATTTTTCTTTCTTTGTGAAGTTATGTCTTCATATGCAGAGCCGGATTTACTCTCTCTGCTGCCCCAATGCCAGGTATACTGATATGCGTGTTATTGTATAGTTTGTGATAGGGGTGGACTGTTCTTCTAACTGTATTGCTCTGGGATTATGAGTCCTGTCTGTCGCAGTTGTGGAATGATTGCAGCCATTTTTCTTTCTTTGTGAAGTTATGTCTTCATATGCAGGGCCGTATTTACTCTCTCTGCTGCCCCAATGCCAGGTTCCTCA